GGAAATGTTTTACTTTGCTTTGAGTGAGTGAGATTGAGATAATTCAAACACATTAAAGGGAGAAAATGCTTTAAAAATATTCTCAAGCAATATGTTGGTACTTAGTGGTCATTATGTAGAATCAGCAAAACCTGAAATAACACAACTCCCAGAGAAGTTTTCTATCATGCATGGCTTACTAAATGGTGAAATGTTCTCCCTGAATTTTTCTTCCTTATTCCATCAGCAGACCCACAGTTTTGTTAAAATATTGGACTCAACTCACTATCCCTAGAGTTTAGTGAGCTCCTTTTTCAATTCACTTTTAGAGGTCCTATTGACACCCACTTTCAGAAATCTACACCCCTCCTTCCCCCTTGTTTGTTTAAAAGGGTGCACTTCTGTCCTAGTATTAGAAATGCCCAAAGTCAGGTGAGAAGATAATATGTTTCTGCTCTATTGAAGGAAATACAACATGCTGAAGAATTTCTTATCAAACCAGAATCCAAAGTGGCTCAATTGGACACTTCTCAGTGGCCCTTGTTACTAAAGGTATGTGCTGTGTGTATCAGATGGATGCTTGAATTTCAGATTTCTAATTAAACAGCTAATAAAGAATGCTTACTGCTGGGCTGGGCATGATGATGCATGCCTTTAATCCCAGTGGGCCAGGCCAGCCTGGTTTACATAGAGAGACCCTGTCTCAAAGAAAAGGGAAAAAAAAAAAGAATGCCTAGTGCCAGCATATTTTACATTTAGAAAACTGCCAAATGATGCAGCATTAAGACAGTTTTTCAATGTATCTGAGATGAAGGACTCATTTATTTAAATTTGTAATTCATCCAATGTTGTTCTGGAATATAGTACATCACCAAAATGTTAATTGCTGTCAGTTTTTAAACAATTGCACATCTGAAATCATGTCTTGTAGAATGTTTCAGTGCCTAAGAACATAAGTTTTGAAGCCAGACACCTTTGAATCAAGATTGTATGTGACCTTAGGCTAGACATTTAACTAACCTCATTGAATCTATTAGTTGCTCATGATATTTTCTCTTTGGATGATGTCCTGGGAGTTATAGCAGGTATTCTATGAAGCATGCTTAACAGTTCCTGATTGTATGTCATAGATTTTATGATTATCATTTAGGGATTTAAATGGTGACATTGAATAATGGGTTGAACTAAAATTTATAATTTTCACAAAATGGATACCAGTTATAAAGTTGAGACATCTCTTAACAAAGAGGTTTTTTTTAAAGTTATTTTTTATGGTATTTTGCCTGAATGTATGTCTGTATGAAGATGTCAGATTCACTGGAACTTGGGTTACAGACTGTTGTGAGCTGCCATGTGGGTGCTGGGAATTGAACCTGGGTCCTGGAAGAGCAGCTAGTGCTCTAACCAATGAGCCATCTCTCCAGCCCCAAAGAGGGTTTTTAAATATAAATTTTTATTTCACTTATTAGAGTGTGTGGGTGACATAGGGGGAGCACACCACACATGACATGCATGTGAAAGTCAAAGAACAACTTGCAGAAGTCCATTCTCAACTACAGTGTGAGTTCCTGAAGTTGAACTTGAGTTGTCAGGCTTGGCAGTAGGCATCCTTACCCATTGAGCCATCTCACTGGCCTGACCAAGAATTTTAATAAATCGTATGTACGTATTGGTGAAATAGTGAGGTTTGTTTATATCATTCAACCAAGTTCACTTTCTGCTTGATTATAATTCACTATCATTTGAATGGCATCTGCGTTTCTTATGTTGTCCCTGGAAAAATAGCTAGCACACAGAGATGGGAGAGACAATTAAACAAGCATTGCTATTTGTAGTAGGCGTAATGAAACTAAACTGATATATCAAGATGGGCTTCAGTTGGTGAATTCTTCCTAACTGGTGGCTAAGCCTTAGGCAGGAGACTGAAAAGGAACAGATTAAGAGCAGAGGTAGTAGGTATCTGGAGCAGAACCAAACTGCTCGTGTTGAGGAAAGTTGCCAGCCATCTTCAATTTGGGTGATCTGAGAAAGTCTATTTTGTGTTTTATAGTACCCTCAACAGGTCTTTTTAGAGCATTGACTATAAATTCTCAGATTTGTCCTTTTCTCAATAGTATTGGGAGTTTCCCCAGTATATAGAAGGCTTAATAGTGGTGTTAATAATAGGAACAAAACTATACATTTATGGACTTGAAGGGCTGCCATGCATGGTTGGTGGTGGTACTTACTGACTCTTGTTTTACTTCTATCGATGTGTTATTAAACTTATGTTATTGCTTTCTAGAATTTTGATAAGCTAAATGTAAGGACAGCACACTATACACCTATTCCTTGTGGTTCAAATCCTTTGAAGAGGGAGATTGGGGACTATATCAGGTAAGCATGGTGAATGGCTCTGTCCAAACTTAAATTATTTTGAAACTGATGCTTTCACATTAGTTATTCATGGAAGTAGTGGCAGCTTAGAACAGCTTTGCCCTGAATATATAGTCTATACATGTGATTTGCTTTTCTTTGTAACTCTTCACACTGTTTTTAGACCATAAGAACAGGTGGTACAATTACTTTTTTTTTTCTATTCTAGGACAGGTTTCATTAATCTTGACAAGCCCTCTAACCCCTCTTCCCATGAGGTGGTAGCCTGGATCCGACGAATACTTCGGGTAGAGAAGACAGGCCACAGTGGCACACTAGATCCCAAAGTGACTGGTTGTTTAATTGTGTGCATTGAACGAGCTACTCGTTTGGTGAAATCACAACAGAGTGCAGGTGTGTAGAAGAAAGAGTAGGGGGCTATCTCTTTAGTGATTAGAAAACATTCTGTACTTGTTTCACTTCTACATTTTGGCTCTTGGACACTTTCTTTAGAAAATAAAATCTTAATGCAGGAGTGTCATTTGGTTTCTATATAATAATTCTGTTCTCTGCCAAAATCTGGTGGTTCTTTTTTTAAAAGTCCAGACACTAGGCATGTGTATATTGAACTAACTAGTCCATTCCTGTTGCTGGGTCATGTCCAATTCTATGCTTGCTGCTGTTGGTTTTTATTTGTTGTTTTTTGTTTTGTTTTTGTTTGTTTTTTGAGACAGGGTTTCTCTGTAGACCAGGCTGGCCTCAAACTCAAAAGATCTGCCTGCCTCTGCTTCCTAAGTGCTGGGATTAAAAGCGTGTGCCACCACTGCCCAGCATGCTTGCTGCTGCTTAACTCTCTAGTCATGCTTCTATCCCAAGTGTCTTTCCATTGTTTTTATTGGAGAAAATTATTCTTAAAGTGCAAGGTGTTTTCCAGTCAGACTAAACAGTAGGTACTCCATCTGCCATCACATTTGGCAGTAAAGTGTGTGTATGTTCTTTTTACCTTCCTTTCTTTTTTTGAGACAAGGTTTTGCTGTGTAGCTCATGCTGCCTTGGAAACCTCAGTCTTCCCATCTTGGCCTCCAAACTGCTGGGTTTAGGTTGTAGGCATGTGCTATGCCTGACCCAAGAAAAAATAACTTCATTTCTCTTCCCTATCTGCAACATGAAATCTGTCAGTATAGATTTTATTGAAACGTGATGTTGGATTCCCTGCTGCTTCTACCATGTAAAATGGCAGTGGTAGAACATAATGTAAAACAGAAAAGTCAGTGGCCACACCTGACTACTCTTTTGTCATTTTTCAGGCAAAGAGTATGTGGGAATTGTTCGGCTGCACAATGCTATTGAAGGGGGTACTCAGCTTTCTAGGGTAAGTCTATAACTGTAGGGAAGGTGCCTTTGGTGATTTGGGTGTCTGAACTCCTAAATATCTAGAAACAGGGAAGTTTTCCTGGTTAGTAGATCTTGTACCCTTTTATGAGCTGTCCTAATCTCCTGGGTGGAGAACAACCGGTCATATCTTTCCTCAGGAAGAAGTTCTGATTAGCACTGAGCTGTAGTGCGAATCCTAATTGGTCTTAATAATAAAAGACCGAGCCAGATTTTGGGGTAAATGCTGAAAGATCAGAGAGACAATGGAGCAAACCACAGCCACCTCTTACCTCACCAACTCCTAAGCCTGAAATTACCCCAATATCTGGGCTTTTATTATTAAGACCAATTAGGATTCACGCTACACTGAGCCATCCCTCAATTGAAGAAGAGGAAACTGAACTAAAGGGCCTTTAGCTCTTAAGTTATTGAAAGAAAACTTTTATATTTGAATTATGTCCTTAAACTCCCTAAATATGCCCTTTTGTCTTATTTAAAAATGAGCCCACATAATGAATGGGTTTTTTTTTTTTTTTGGTTTGTGCTTTGTTCTTAGGCTCTAGAAACTCTGACAGGTGCCCTGTTTCAGCGACCCCCACTTATTGCTGCAGTAAAGAGGCAGCTTCGAGTGAGGACTATCTACGAGAGCAAAATGATAGAATATGATCCTGAAAGACGATTAGGTGGGTCATTAGGCCTAAACCAAGCTGAATTGCTTTAGACCCACAACAGGTGGGAATGCATTCTCAGGGATTCTGTTATGAGTAGAAACTTTGAGGACGTTGTGTAGTCATACACTATTCCCTATGTCTCTTAACTCCAATCATTTTGTTCGTTTTAGATAGGGTCTCTCCATTATGTAGCTCTGGTTGGTCTGGAACTTGCTATGTATGTAATCCAGGCTGTCCTTGAATTCACAGAGATCCATTTGTCTCTGAGATTAAAGTTGGGCACCACCATGTCCAGGGTTTCTCTAATCATGGTTCAGTTGGAGAGGGGGAATATCATGTGTTTGCTTTAGAAAATAGGTCCTACTTGTTTGTGTGTGTGTGTGTGTGTGTGTGTCTTATCTTAGGAATCTTTTGGGTGAGCTGTGAAGCTGGCACCTACATTCGGACACTATGTGTACACCTTGGCTTGCTACTGGGAGTTGGTGGTCAGATGCAGGAACTTCGGAGGGTGCGTTCTGGAGTCATGAGTGAAAAGGTATGCAATTATGGGACTAGACAGTTTTAGAACTGATTCTTAAGACTCTGCCCTTGGTAGAACTCTGCTTTACATGTTACGAAAGATTCCAGAGTGTTGAGTTCAGTTCAGGGCAGCTTCCCTGTTCTGTTAATTAAACTTTGGGACATTGAAATTGGCTAAGGGAAATGACTGAATTGAGAGTATTACTCTATTCATACACTTCCTAGTCTACACCAATCTTGCTTAGAGTTTGCAGGTGTGACTCAGTGTTAAGAGCACTTGGCAAGCATTTACAAACACCACCTGGGTTCCATCCCTAGCAGTACCAAAAATTGGAGTGCCTACCTAGATCTAAGATGGCAACATGTACAAATACCCCAAAGTAGATTCTAAAGTCTCATGATGAGCCTGGGCTAGAAGACAATGTATAGTTACATTCAGTTGTAAAAAGTTTAGGGGTCTGATGGATGGATATACAGTATGAAGACACAATTTAATATCTGACTGCTTTTCAGGACCACATGGTGACAATGCATGATGTACTCGATGCTCAGTGGCTGTATGATAACCATAAGGATGAGAGTTACTTGCGGCGTGTTGTTTACCCTTTGGAAAAGCTGTTGACATCTCATAAACGTCTGGTTATGAAAGATAGTGCAGTAAGTTATGGATTAAGAGTCCATGTTTGCAGAGAATGTGGCTCCAAAGATGAAATGTTAACATTATAAAGTCATATTTATTGTATTTTTATTTTCCTTGTGGTTACTCTTCCCCCCTTTTAGTTGTATAGATTCTCTTTTGTGCCACTAATAGGAAACAGTTATGGCTAGATTTGTTAAATTAAGTTAAAACCAGGTATATCACTTTAAAGTAGAATTTCAATAATGTAAATTTAACATTGAAAGTCTTTCCCAAGCAACTTTATTCAAGTCCTAAACTATCAATGATATCTAAAAATTTGCCCTCCTTTAATTTGTTGCTCTGTCTGTGCCTAAAATAATCTTGATTTATTTAAGTTACTATAAAAGATTGTTTCAGTAGGTAAAGTTTAGGACTGGAGAGTTTAGAGGTATGTTATTTACCCTGTAGGGATTTCAATGAAATGCTGCTTTCTTCTGTTAAAGTATATTATCATTTGAGACAATATAATCCAGACTTCACTAAGCTGATCATCAGCTCTTATCGTATATTTACTTATTACCTTGTAATTAGAAATGGTCCTAATAATTTAAATATATAGTCATAAGATTTTTTGAAAGACAAATTTCTATATGTGTAACAGTTTGTGGTTAGATACTTAAGCATATTTAAATCTTAAAATATGTGTAAGTCTTCTGAAAACTCATAATAGAGGGGAAAAATTGAAGAGATATATTAAGGTGTGACATTAACAGGAACTGAGAAAGCTTAACCACATAATTGTATAAATGTACCTTTCTTGTGCTGGGGTCAGACTGTTGGCTTCTGAGTGAATTTAAAGAGAAATTAGAATATGGTCAGCAAGAGATCTAATTGAGTAAAGACAAGATGATAAGAGGCATACACGTGCATTGGGGGTCGCAGAACTGGAGAAGTGGCCTTAATTTGTACTTCTGGGATAATAAATTCCATATAGAAATGTGGATGTGATTTAATAGGTCTGGTAATTTTGTTAGCAAGTTGCTTTGGGTGTTTGTTATTGCTTCATCTCTAGTAAATGTACTATTTTTTCCTGACAAATATTCAAGAGCAGTCCTGTGGAACAGTCTGATAGAAAATTGTGGCAGGTTTTTTAAAATTATGTTTTATTTGTATGTATGTGCATACATATACACGGAGGTTGATTGAGGACAACTTATGAGAATTGGTTCTCTCCTTCCACCACATGGATTCCAAGGATCAAACTTGGGTAGTCAGGCTTCAGGGCAAGTACCTTTACCTGCTGAGCCATTTCTCTGGCACCTAAGATAGGATTTATTTTGTTTTATGTGTATGAGTATTTTGTTTGCATGTATGTCTGTACTACATGCATACCTGGGGCCTCAAAGGTCAAGGACCCTCTTGGACTGGAGTTACATATGTTTGAGAGCCACCAAGTGGGTGCAGGGAAACCCAGGTCCCCTGTAAGAACAAGCTCTTAACCATCTCTCCAGCCCCTAAGTTTTGGTTTATTATTCTAGATGACAATATTCATGGGTCATGTGATAAAAGTAGAGTCCAATACCCTATTTGTATAGACCATTGAGGCATTCTTACTTATTTTTATTATGTATATGTTGTGATGTATGTAATTATGTGTGAACATATGCATACTGTAATGTCTTTGGAGCTCAGCGCTTAATTTTGTGGAGTCAGTTTCCTCCTTCCATCTTTATGTGTGTTTTAGGATTGAACATGGGCCATCAGACTTGTTGAATCATCTTTAAAGTTTTCTTTAGTATTTTGTAGCATATGTGAAAATTTTAGAGCAGTGCTAGCATATGATAGGTGTTTGTTACTGTTCTGTGTTCCTTCATACTGCATTGTAGTCAGTGAACTGTCAGTGCTATTATTCCTATTTTCCACTCTCAGGCTACCTCCCCCCTTGTAGTCTTGTTCTGTTCTGGTATGGAAGTAGAACAGAAATAATGGATAACATCTGGCCCTCATGTGATACTGTCTCCATAGGTGAATGCAATCTGCTATGGGGCCAAGATCATGCTTCCTGGTGTTCTCCGATATGAGGATGGCATTGAGGTCAACCAGGAGATTGTGGTCATTACCACCAAGGGGGAAGCTATCTGCATGGGTAAGGAGGGGAGTAGCCCTCATTATTTCTGGAATTGGCTCTGCACCATCAAATCTAGGCTCATTGTAGGCCGGTCTCATGTCATGGTCCCTCAGTTTTATCTAATTATGGTGTCTCCTGGGGTTTGTATGGATAATTTATGAACAGACAGGTTAGTCAGGTATAGATTAAGGAGTGTTGTATGTTTATATGCTCTTGGCTCTTTAGTGAAATTCCAAGAGTAAGAGTAGTGATGGCTGTCTGTGATGATTAAAGGAGAGATTTTAATTCACTCCTTGTTTGCTGTCGGGTAACTTGTAGTTAGTGACTTTTTTTGGTTTTTCGAGACTGGGTTTCTGTTTTAGACTTGGCTGTCCTGGAACTAGCTCTGTAGACCAGGCTGGTTTCCAACTCATAGAGATTCACCTGCCTCTGCCTTCTGACTGCTGGGATTAAAGGCATGTGCCACCACCGCCTGGCACATCAGTGACTTTTAATTTATAAAGCCTTAGCTACTATTGGATTAATAATCCTTACAATTTACAGTGCTCTGTGGCCTTCTCAATTAAATCCAGGCTATTCGTTTAATATCCTAATTTGCACCAGAAATAAGTCATATCACTGGGATCCCTTGTCTTAGTTATATGAACAGATGGGGTACCTGTGGGAGGTCCATTCTGAAACATAGCAGGAAAGAGATTCTTAAAACTAAATGCTCTATGGACCTGAGGATGGTATTATATATCATCCCTGTACCTATCCAGAGATACATGCCTTGCTACATGTTTCTTCAGTTGCTTTTGTTGAGTGGTTTTTAATTTGGTAAATTTAATATTACTTCAAATGCTTCTTGCTGTAGTGGAGACTCTTCTCCACACATATATCCTAAGCAAAGAAAAAGCTCAGGATTTAATGAGTTCTAAGAAGGCATAAAACAGTAGAACTCATCTATTACCAAATCATTCTTTTTTTCTCTTTCTAATGCCTGCAGCTATTGCATTGATGACTACAGCAGTGATTTCTACCTGTGACCATGGTATAGTAGCCAAGATAAAGAGGGTAATTATGGAGAGAGACACCTATCCTCGCAAGTGGGGTTTAGGTCCAAAGGTCAGTAACACTAGGTGGTAGCCCTTGCTGGGTTATATTTGTGTTACTAAATACCCACTCAAGCAGCTCTTTGTATGTCTGCATTGCCATAGCCTTTTATTATTTGGGGCTATAGATTATTGATGGTGAGCAGAGGCATGCCCTATCTTGGACTTAAGAGATTCTCAGTCTAGTTGAGGGAAACACTTGGGCATTAATTACATAAATAATCACAGTTGGGTCGTGAACTATGACTCAAGAACATGAAGCTTGGTTCCTAGAATATCCACAGTGAAAGTTCTTTTTCTTCCTGGTTTTTTTTTCCAGACAGGTTTCTCTGTGTAGCCCTGGCTGTCCTGGAACCTGCTCTGTGGTCCAGACTGGCCTCATAGATATCCACCTGCTTCTGTGCTGAGACCAAAGGCATGGGCCACCACTGCTGGCTACAGTGAAAGTTTTAATCCCATCATAGATCTGGGCAAGGACTTTTCACTTGTGAAGAATAGGTTAGATATTGATGATGATAAGAGGAGAGGGAAGAATTCAAGACAGTTTTGTAAGGGGCATGAAGCCCTGCTGAGAATACATAAAATAAACCTTGGACAGTTCTATGCAGACTGGGTCTAAGTCACGGTGTGTGATAATAATGGCTACTTCTGTATTGATAATAATCTAATGTTTGAAATGCCTCCAGGCAAGTCAGAAGAAGATGATGATCAAGCAAGGCCTTTTGGACAAGCATGGCAAACCTACAGACAACACCCCTGCCACCTGGAAACAGGACTACATTGACTATACGTAAGGATAGGGTTTTCCTGGGACTGGGGTAATGTATACTTACCATTTGGTCATTGATTATAAGTGAGGACAGGAGAGAGACTAGATAGCCAAGGGGAGATGGAGGGTTTTATTGGGGGGCAACTGCTAAATGCTAGGCCACAGGTCCTAACAGTGCAGCTCAGTTTTCTTTTCCTTGCTTGGCTCTTAGGCCTGGTCCAGGTAGTAACTACTACTGTACAGGCCTTAGCCTACCTACTGGGCAGGGTATGGACTATGGAGAGTCAGTCTGCAAAAACACCTGGTGGGTTCTTCTATTCAGCGTCAGTATTTTCATGGAGACTTTAGGGGTTGCCAAGTATCATTGAATAACAGGGGACATGACATGATAGGACTACCATGGAAAGCTCCTCCAAGAATTTAACCTCATATTACCTGTTTGTCTTTCAGTGATTCTGGCAAGAAAGCACTGGTTACTGAAGCAGTACAAGCCCCTCAGTTAGCTGCTGAAGCAGTAAAAGTTATAAAAGTGAGTGGCATGACCTGTTTGAAATGTGCTTCAAGCCAGGCCAGCCTCTACAAAGTGAATTCCAGGACAGCCAGGGCTACACAAAGAAACCCTGT